ATTGTGGGATGTCCTCTGTTTTACAGAATTCATTTGTTCTCATTGACCACTTGTATTTCAGGGTTGTGATCCTACTGCTTTCTCTGTCCTTACCCAAGCAATTACCGGCCAAGTGGGTTTTGTGGATGCAGAATTCTGTACAACCTGTGGGGAGAAAGGAGCAGACAAGAGGTGTTCGGTGTGTAAAATGGTAAGAGTCTGTAAATTGTGGCAATAGAATTGCAAAAAAATAGTGCCTCGAGTTGCTGAGGATTTTGAATGTGTAGGAAGAGTGTGTAAAGAGTAGGATATAGGGTAGAGGAATGATGTGCATGTCTGTAGGGCATTGGTGCCTCCTGAGAGAGGAACCCTAAACTCCATCAGCAAGAATGTTTGGGTTTTCAGGATTGTGTGTTTAAAGATGGAGGAAGAAAAACATTTCTGTCTGTTGATAGCTGCAAAAGAAGCTATTACAGCTATATATGGCTTAGAATTATTCCATATGACACTACACATTGCTTGAAAATACTATGAAGTAGTGTGTGTAAATAAGTGTGTGTATATGAAGTAGTGTGTGTATGAAGTAGTGTGTGAAGTAGTGTGTGCATATGTATAGGAATTTAGTTGAATACTATAAAAAGTTTAATATTATCATGTATAATTTAATATATGAAGAGGAACTGCTGTAACTTTCAGGTGATGTACTGTGACCAGGACTGCCAGAAAATCCACTGGTTTACCCACAAAAAAGTCTGCAAGACACTGAAGGAAATTCATGAGAAACAAGAACTAGAAGCTGCCAAAGAAAAAAGGAAGCAAGAAAAAAGGCAAAAGAAAGGTTAGGACCAGTGCTTTGCTTGCTGAAACTGCTGCTGTGCTAACTATGAGCAATAGAAATGAGTCTTGAAATGTGTAACAGTGACGTTAAGGACTTTGTTATAAGATGGCAACGTACCTGCGTGTGCTGGAATTGCAGTCTTTCAGTTTGCAGGTGGTGTGTGCTTCCTGCAAACTGTGTTTAATGCTGGAGTTATTCGGATGTCTGTTCAAAATCCAGATTTTAAATCAAAGTAACTYGGGAGTTTCATGCTTCTCTACTTTGTGTTCAAAGTGGTAGCACAAGTTGAGAATAGGAAAGCAGCTTCCAGTGGGAAAGGTTAGACTTCAGTTCTCCTATGTATATATATATGTGTGTGTGTGTGTGTATATATATATGCTATTTGAAATTAACTTTCATGTGTATTGTGAGTGCAAAGAAGGGACTGCCTTTTTCTGTTTCGTTGGTGTTTTTCTCCCTTCAATAAGCAAATAATGCAYTGAGACAGAAAAACCCATATGGCCCTTCTCTAAGCCTACTCTGATACAATGTTCCTGTGATCAAAATGATAGGAAAATCTGGGGGGAAAAGCCTTTTTTGCTTAAGAATTTTCTTCCCTTGTCTTAAGGGTTGTAAAAGTGTCCTGGAAAAATCATGCTCTTTGCCACGGCCTGGCTGTGTGACATRCAGGGCAGGGCACGTGCTGGGAACAGCCAGCGTCCTCCTGAGCTTCCTTGGAGACGCTGTGGCGCGGGCCGAGGGGAGCGGTGACCGTGCCCTGCGYGCAGGGGCAGCCGTGAGCCCTGGTGGCTCACGTGGCCCTGAGCACCTGCTGAAGCACCTTAACTCAAGCTGGCAGTGACCACGGGCCGTCCTTCTGAGGGACAGACAGGATCTTAGCGAATGCTGCTTCTCCTTCCCCTGTGAAAGGCAAGGTAAAAATAACAATACAAAATCAATACTATGCCCCCTAAGCGTTAGTCTTCGTTAATTTTTCCTTTGGGCATGTGAGAGTATGGCTTCTTGAGAATGAAAGAATTCTGAAATTCTGAAATGTATTCCTATAAACTCCTATCCTTCTTGAGGCCATTTCTTCTTGTCCTATTGGTAGTTATTATGCAGAAGAGACACCCCCCACGCCCAGCTCACTGCAGCCTCCTTCCAGGCAGTTGCAGAGAGCGCTGAGGTCTCCCCGGGGCCCCCTCTGCTCCAGCCCGAGTAACGCCAGCTCCCCCCGCCGCGCCTCGTGGGGTCTGCGCGGCAGCCCCCTCCCCAGCTTCGCCGCCTTCTCCGCGCTCGCGCCAGCACCTCACCGTCTTCCTTGTATGAAGAGGCCCAAAACTGATCCCGGTGTTGGAAGCGGGGGGCCTCACCAGTGCTGAGTAGTTTCGCTTTACAAGCTCCTACCCCTACAAAAACTTGAAGAGTTTCCACTCTTCAAGAGTCTTGAAGAATATCCACTACATGAGCAGGAGTGAGAAGGAAGTTGATGGCAAAGCCTGTGCTCAGGCTTGTGGCAGCTCTGTGCCCGTAGAGGCCTTTGGCCTGGGCAGTGCTGGGTGCTGAAACGCACATGAACTGGTGTGCAGAACTCTAGTGTCTGAGGTGGCTTTGGTGAAGCATGGTTCGCTTTTAAAGTTGATAGTTTCCTAGCTTTTATTTTTCCCTAAAAATAACAATGTTTTCTTGCACATGAATTCAATGTTCACTAATGATGGGAATTTTCTTTTGTTCAGATGAAATGCAGCTAGCAGAGGTCAGTTCCATGGGTGAAGAACAGCCAGATCCTGGCCCAGATGCTACCAAAGAAGCAGATCCAAATCATGCTGATGACCGAAGAGAAGAAACTGAGCTTACCAAAGAGCCAGAGGCGCCAGCCCCACATCCTGACGGTCTGTTGGAAAGTGAGACTGGCTTAGCTGACATTGCCCTTCAAAAACTGCAAGATTCTGAGGAGTAGAGCAGGGTAGGAAGAGACCAGGGCTTCTGGCTAAGTCCTTGCACCTCGAGCATCGTAAAAAATACTTAATGCTGCCCACGTCTGACTTCCSAAAGCATGGCACATGCAAGGCGCCCCACGACAGACAGCACGTGCCTGTTCATCCTGGGGTGAAATACTAGCTACTTTCTCTACAGGTACTGCAAGTTCTGTTGTAGACTGTCAAAATAGCTATTTATTATTTGATTAAAAAATAGAGCGGTATAGAATCATCAACACTAAGCATGGTAATCTCTGAGGTCTGTGATCACTTCGTAAAAATGAAACATTTAAGGAATTTAGGTTATTTTTGTTTTCAAAACCTAAAATCTTATCTTCATAGTAATTGAAAGGGTTTTCATCTGCAAGATGCAGATGCACTGAAATGCAGGTGAAAGTCTTTGCAGCTTTGCCACCCTATGAAGCTTCATTTGAAAGAATTCGGTAGTGATTAAGTTTCTGAAGACACTCATCCGAATTCTCAAAACCTTTCATGACTTTGCTGTAAATAGTTTTGACTGGTCTGTGCACAGCAATAGTGTCATTTTGTGGCAATTTTATTAATGATACTACTATTTCAGATCTCTYAAATTGACTGTGAAATATATATTTCAAGGGAATGTCTTATTTATTTGCTCAGAAATATCCCAAGTTTGTCAAAGACCAGTGAACAGCAGACCTGTTTTTAAATAGTTTGACTGACTGAAGAATGATGGCTTCTTAATCTCAGCTTTCAGGTTAAGATGGCTTAGAGACTAGAGCCATGTTGTATAAGAATTATGTGGTGAGCACATGTAAGATGTTTAATATTGGATAAACAGACTGAACTTGGCTGCAGTGAATTGAGTGGCAAAATTCATGTGTTTGATTTTATTCAGGCTTTCAACTAAATACTGTCTTAAACAGCATTCCTTAATTCTGCTGTTTTCACTCCACTTTACTGTTGTCTCTCACAAAATCAAAGGGAACTTCACAAGCTGAAGTACTATAATGTTTCTATTCTGAATAAGGAAGTCAGAATTTGAGGTTCTTTAATTTAGGGGTGAGTAACTGCTGTTTAGAACATGGCAATATCTTTTAACAAAGAGAAATCTGAACTCCCCCTCCCATACAGAGGAAAAAATGCTTTTTTTTTTTTTTTACTATTAGTATCTTGAAAGTTTTTAATATTCTGAAAATTGTAAGAGAGAGGATACTTAGATGTCCCCGGGCAGAAAATGTACTTTTTGTATAATTCATGAGCACATTTTCATTTCAAAGATTTTAGGAATAAAATGTGAAGAATAAAGGGAAGGTTTTTGGAAGAAGGAAGCCGCGTGGCAGGTCTGTTTGTTGCATCTGTGTCGCGTCCTGGGTCGCCCTTGGGCTCTGGTGCGTGGGCTCCACTGCCCGGCAGGCCAGGCTGGCGCTGCCGGGGGGAGCCGGAGACCATGGGGCATAAATGGCATCCTCTACTTGAGCTTCTCTTGGAAGGTGTAGTTGGTAAGTTGAGATAAACTTGGGATCATGACCGGCCCTTGTGTCCTCAYGGGCTGGGGGAGGCGCTTCGTGCGGCCGGTTGCTGCAGGGGAGCCGCACGTGCAGCTCCTGGATTCCCACGTCAAGTCTCTCTGAACAGCAGCTGGGCAGTCAGTGCCTGGCCAGCACCCGCTCACCTACAGCTCCAAGGCCTCGTTCCCAAGGCTTCCTTGGTTCCTCTGTCCCCCGGCTGACTTCCTAGGAAACCTGCAGGTCTCACTTCTGCCTCCCCAGCTGCTTGGCTACGTGCAAGAACACAGCAGCTGTGAATCTGTAGCCTGCTTCGCTGCAGCTCTGGCTCCTCCATTCACCTTTAGACTGTGGGGTTTTTGCTTGTTCATTTGTTTTGTTCTTTTAATATTGACTCTCTTTCTTCTACTGTTTTCTTGACTTTAGGAATTTTGAGCAAATTGAGGACATATAGAAGCCTCTAAATTACTTGAGTATAATGTCTAATGAACTGAACACTGCATGTTCACCTTAGATTTCTGATGCAGTTTAGATTTCTGATCTTAYCAAAGGAAATGAATCCTCAGTAGAAGTTTTAATGACCTTTGCAGCTTAAATACTTCTCAGTATATAAATAGCAGCTAGTACTGGTCCCACAGCATTGCTCGGGGTGCGGAAGGGTGGAAGGGACCCCGGGAGCTGTGCAGGCCCCCTGCACAGGCAGCACCAAGAGCGTGGGGCCCAGGACTGTGTCAGGGCAGGATCTGAGCAKCCCCAGAGACRGAGGCGCCAATTTGTGATAAGAATATTGGAGGAATTATATTTCAAGCAACTTTATTAAAATAGCTGCCACTACTTATCTTTTGTTTCGTTCATTTCTTGACTCTGTATATTGCCTATTGGAAGATGGAAGGAATGCTATGCATTTTTTCTCTTTCCTGAAAGATCATTTAATTAGATGCCTGCTTTACCACGCATGTATTATGTAGCCAATAACTTATATAACAGGTTTATGGCCATTTCAGAGGGAGGATTTTTTTTTCTTGAGGAAGTAAAACACTTATCTAAATCTGACTGTCAGCATCTCATAGGGCTCTTCTGCTTTGTTTTCAAGCCGTCTTTGTTGGCAGGTAGATACTTTATTCCAGTCAACAGAGGAAAACTCCATTACAGATCTTGTCATTGCCCTTAGAAACACAGCGTCCGCGGGGTCCTCAAGGGGAACTCTGCAAAAATAAACACGGCAAATGTAAATTAACTGAGTATTTCTAAGCTATTGTACAGTGGATTTACTAAAATTATTCATTGTAGAAAGTAAAGGTAGAAGTCATGAACTCCATTTTTTTTTAAGTTTTCCTTTTTTTTTTTTCACTTTTACCCAGTCAGAACCACCATACTTTAAGGAAAAACAATCCTTAACCATGTCATAAACCATTTTAAATTTACTGTATCTAAAAAGGTGGCTTTGTACAGAGATGCCATGTTAGCAAGCTTTTCATTGCTGATTTTCACAAAATGGTTAATGTGGTAAAATGACTACATGTTTCTGCCCATGTGTTTAGACAGGATATTTCCGCACCGAGAGCTGCCGTCCCGCGGGCTGCCTGTAAAGGAACCCGCTGCGTACAGGTAGGTGCGACCCTGCAGTGAGGGGCGCCCAGCCTAGAGCCCCTGCGTATCCAGCCTAGGGAGGCTGCGCTCACAGGCCTGGCGCCCGGTCGCGGCTCAGCCCTCCTGCCCAGCCCCAGCACCTCCTAYGGGGCAGGCAAGGAGCTGCACCGGCTCCTGTGATTCTGTGATTCTAGTTTTATATTCATTTCTATGATTTTAAAATGTAGCAGAACGAAAGTAACATTATGCACCGCGAAGCGTCATTCTGCAAGTCAGYACGATTTGCAGGAGGAGTAGGTACTTCCGAAGAGACAGGAAAAAGTTGCCCCTGCCACAAGATAGAACAATTATTCTAATGCTCTCCTACTACTCCTACTCTACTAATCAGTATTTAGGTTAGTAATGAGAGAAATGAAGAAAGAGCATTTTATACACCCAGATGCAAAAGCAGCAACAATAAAAACTTACTTATTTGTGTGATCTCCAAATTCACAACCTATAATGAAATTCAAATTAAGATATTAATGTCTGTACAGCTTTTTGATTAGCTAAGACTTAGGATCATGATACTAACTTACTTTTTCAAATGAACAGAAAACTAGCAGATGATTTGAAATGTACAGGCTCATTCTTTACTAAATTACTATGGAAWCAAAGATCTTTGAAAAGGTTATTGCACCAATTATGAAATTTTTTTGCCAATGGTTATATAGTTCTTTTCTGCGGACAAGTGTTTCCACTTGTTTCCATTTCCATTGTGTAATTTTTTTTCACAGAAAAATGGTGCTACTACTCTACATCTGTGCATGCATGTACAATAAACTGTACATATATTTTGATATTTATCAAGGAAAAAACTCATATAATTATAGTATACTTTTTACCAGCCTTTTCAAAATCCTTAAATACACAGTTCCTAGGACTCTTAATTAGAACATACATTGAAAAGCATTTTCAGACACTTTATTGAGGCACCCAAACCCCATCCACACTGCCTGCTTAAAAATGCTACCATTTCAGTCATGTTATGCACAACTTTATTATTCTTATCTTTAAAATATCAACGAAGCAGATGAGATATGGTTTCACCCAAAGGGTTTCTCTGCACTGTTATGGTGCTTGTCACCAGTTTATAGATGGTGTCCACCTGCTTTCTTGTGTCAGGACCATGCTGTGTTACAGATGTGAACGGCTTAAGAACTCTATGTGTGAACTGTTAAGAATCTTGAAGCAATATGCTGCAATCAGACTTTATTAAAAATACTCTTCAGCTTGGAAAGCATGAAGGGGAAGATGTTTATAAAACTAYGCAAGATATGCAAATTTTCCAACACTATTCAGAAGAAAAACTTTTTTTTCAGGAGATGACTTTATAAAAGCACTAGAGGGCACCAAAAGCCTATGGTGCTGACCTGTCTAAAACAGGCTCCTTTTCAGAATTTGTTGGAATATTTTTATTTCAATAAAAAAAAATCCATATATTACAAAATAAAGAGTTCTGGKTTTTTGCTCTCTTTAAAAACAACTCTGTAGCTACAGGGGATGGCTCCAACCTAGGATTCATTCSTTGGCTGTTGCTGCTACCACGACCTCAACTGCGGGGCGTTCTGCGGCGTTCCTAGCGCACCCGTTTCAGCAGACCAATGCAAATCGCTGCTGGTGGCGGGAGCCCCCCGTGCTGTGGCCGGTACCTGGGGGGGCGGCCGGGCCGGGGCCGGGCCGGGCGCCCGGGCGCTGTCCCGTCGTGGTGCCCAGCGGGGTCTGGAGGCGCCTGCCGAACGCCACGGCCTGCAGCGCGCGGGATCTGCCGCCCGCGTAGACGTGCAGCGCCCGCTCCCGCTCCCTCGGGGTGACTGCTGCTAGAAGCGATAGAAAGGTTTCAATTTGTTCCACCAGCTTAATCGTCTCCTACTGTTTGCTCCAGGATCAGAAGGTTTAAAGGAAGAAGCTGCAAACCAAGACCCTTCGTGCCATTTGAAGGAGATGTGTTACCGAAGGCAGTAAAGGCACTGACGTTTTCTGTAGGCACAGCAAAGCTTGTTCAGGTCAATTCAATTCCCATTGCTTAACTACAGTGAAAACTGTGTGAGTGCAACCAAGAGTTTCCTATTTTCCTTTTTTTTTTTTTTTTTGCACTTTCTTTCAAAAATAGTTTTAAACAAAGTTTGAGTCTAAGTCAAATAAGAGATTCTAATGTTAGCAATGTGACCTGCATACTAATCTAGTAGTGCAGACATGAAATAAAAGCGAGTTAAGGGTTAGAACAAATAACTTGAGCAGTAGCGTTTTGAGTTCCGGGTTTTCTTAAATCATGGTATCGAGGGGATCAATCAGAAGTCATGGCTGGAGGCAGCAGACACGTGAGCTCGTGTCCTGTGTCACCTCTTTTTCCAAACTGTTCAGAATTGTAAGTAACTGTCAACACTTTGTGAAGAGAGGAAGGGAATCCTTACGTTTCCTGTCCAGGAGCTGCACTGAAGGAAGGAAGTGGATCACACAGAGGCGGTAGCCCGGGTCCTGTGCCAGAGGGTTGTGGAAAACGTCTGCAAAGTTTAGCAATAAATAAATAAATAAATAAATAAATAAATAAATAAATAAATAAATGCGATAGTCGCAAGACTGAAAAATTCAAGATCACCAGTAGTGAAAGATTTTGTACAAAATATTCACATTGTTTTTATATAGGCAAAGAAAGCAGTGTCTTTACATATGTCTCCTCTCAGTCTTCTCCAGGCTAAACAGGCCCAGCTCACTTAGTCTCTCCTCGTATGAGAAATGCTGGAGTCCCTTAATCATCTTTGTTGCCCTCCACTGGAGCCTCTCTAGGAGCTCCACGTCCCTCTTGCACTGGGGAGCCCAGAACTGCCCCCAATACTCCAGGTGCGGCCTCACCAGAGCGGAGCAGAGGGGCAGGATCCCATCCCCCGGCCTGCTGGCATTGTTAGGGGATGCCTATTCGAAATAATAGTAGCATTTTAGATATGATAGCTTAAAGACATAACAAAAAAATTGTAGGGGAAGACAAATAGTAAAACCAGATGAGGTTTTGGACACACAAGGATTTATCACAGCTGACTGATAGACAGTTTTGATCCTGTAGACACAACATAAAGCTAAATTAGCCACAAGACAAAGCTAAATACGTGGTTATCTGAGAGTTTGACAAAGCATGAGTGTGAAGTCTCCAGAAATTTATCTAACTATAGGTTACAGTAAAATGTTGGAAAGGGCCTAAGGTTCCTTGCACTCGGGTCCTACTAAGTTTCAGTGGGACTCGAGGTGCTGCCTTCCAAAGGCCTGTGAGCAGTTTGGCTGGAATGCTTATATCCAGTTCACGTTACCTGAATAACCAAACTTTGCAGCAGACACAAGTGGGAGTCCAGTGCTGTTTCTTTGCCAGGAAATGTGTAATGTTTGCCAAGATTAAATGCCAGATAGGYTTGGTTCATGAGAACGATATTAGAGGTTGGTTGAAATAGACACTGGCCCATTCCTGGATCTGGGTACAGATTGACAAGGTGCATTTATGTTTTTCTAAATTCACTGAATCATAAAGCTATTTTTCTCCTTATATAAATCATCTGGGACAGTAGGTTAAAAAGAATCAGGAGGCTACTACTTGTAATTAGAGTTTACAGAAAGGATATCTCCATAATTTAATAATTTAGACCATTTCTATTAAGATCTAAAATGATCTGCTTTTCTTTCTGCAAAGGGGGACTGTGACTAATACRCGCTCTAGGCAACAAATTCTTTGTTCCATATAATTTTAGCAATTAAGGAGGGAAGGGGAGAACAATGGCATCACAGAAGCAAGTGAGGGCTCTGATTTTCAAGAGATACTGAAAGATGAAAAGATCTGGAGATAATCRACACAGATGAGAGCACTGCACGACGCCATTCCCTGTTCTCCGAGATAAGGGGAACTGCCCGAGAGGTTCATCAGTTCTTTGATGCCATTGACTAGTTATTGTGAGAGTGCAATAAATCCGGAATGGGCACTTTCTATGCAGAAAATGCCTGCTCATGTATTCAGAGGGGAATTTAACAAAATATCTTAATTCCTTCAAAGAGTTTTCCAAAAGACCACTATATTTAGAAATACTAAGAGATCCACAAGGTGGCAGTAAAAGAAAGTTTCATTTTTCCTGATGAGCTCGGCAATACGTATTTTTTTTCTGGAGTGGGTTAATCTGAAATCCTAATTATGTGTCTGATAAGGCTGTTTTTGAGTCAGGCAAACACACGCTAGCATTCCAGAGAGAGAAATGCTTCAGAAAGAAGTCTCAAAGCAGCTCGGTGGGCGTCTCAAGTGGTAYGGCTATGGAATAAAGATTCAGCAGAGCTTTTTCCAAGGAATCAGAGTCACTACCAAGTACCTCTGAGTGTGGGTGTTACTTGCAACACATCCCTCCTCAGCAGCACTCTGATTTGTAGTTTTTAGACTTTTTTTTTTACTTATGGTTCTGAAAATAAATTCAACCACTGTATGGATCAAGAGGGTCAAAACATCTGGAATCAAGCCTTGGCTCTACTGTTCACTTTCTAATGAAAGTCATTTAATTTTACTTCTACAAATGAGGTATAATGCTTTTTTCTTCCACTTCTGTCATTTTTCTCAAATCAGGATGTAGGAAAACAGCTGCTTATCCAATGTAGGGCAGAAAGGGACTATTGTAGAGACACAACAAGGAAGAAAAAGGTTTCCAAGGACCAATATGCAGATGTTATCAGTTGTGGACAGCAAATCAGTAGAAGTAATTTTCAGAAAATGTGACAAAAATCTTGATTTCCCAAAGGGAAAAACTGAGACCTCCTTATCAAGAATTTTCTTTGAAACAGATTGCCATTTTTTTAAAGGCCGTTAGCAAGGAATGACTGTAAAGCACCATATTATGTTTCTTTCACTGATTAGCATTTACTGCCAAATCCCTGAAGATGGTTTTTAGACAATGTGGATCAGCACATTCTATGTATATTCTCTTTCATAGTTCTCTTGGTTACTTACTTCTCTGTGGAGAAGGCCTGTCCAATATGCACCCCATTTTCACGCTGTCTTTGTGACTGTCATACATAATAACTCASGAGCACTTCTGAAACTCTCTGCTGTTTCTCCCACAGAGAGTTGCAACAAGCACAACAAACTGCCTGTGCTTGTTGGAGCTCCTTGTTAATTGGTAGAGCTGTAACATTAAATTCAAGTGACAGCACTATTCATACACAGGATGTCTGTCCAGACTTATCTTAATCATCTCAAACAACTGCATTCTTAAATAGACAATTTTTAAATTCTGCACATAATGAAAAAAAAAAAAAAAAAAACTTGACTGGCTTGTTGTCTTCCCAAACACTTGACTTGTTTTTGAATTTTTGGCCTAGTTTTAAGTTTGATTAAAAATACACTTTTCAAGTTGTATTTTCCATTCCTGCCATGAGACATTCAGTGTTTTGAATGCACAAGGTATGGTTTCACGATGTTCACCTCCATTAATTATGTTACTAAGACATAAAATTAGTTCCTGTTTTCTCAAGGTTCCGAGAGTCTGGCATGATTGATGACGACATTCCTCTAGGAACCATGGAAAAAGACCACTTATACTTTCACTTTCAATAAGTTAATAGCACATAATCCTACTTCCCTGAAGGCTACTTCTTACACGGTAACTTCATGGCACCAGCACTGTCTTGTACAACTTAATTAGAAATTTCAGAGCCTATTCTACTTTCACTTCCACCCAGTATATCAAAAACTATGCTAGCTAGCAGTTAATATTTAATGTTAAAAGCCTATACATTCTTAGACTGTAGAAATCCATGAAGTATGCCAAAAAGGGGCAGAAAATAGGTTCTGTGAGCAAGGGAATTACTGAAGCCAGGAATGTGGCTCCCATGAACCTGCAAGAGCACTCCCAGTGTTGAGAGCAGCAGGAAACTGCTCCGACTGCCCCCGAGCTGCGGAACCAGCACACGGCCCTGCAGCAGCAACAGCCCAGCTCCTACTTAGGGCAGGTTTTTCTCTCAGTGGGGGTACTCTCCGTAGGATTTTCTTATCTTAAAGATCTCTTTCTTCTGCCCAATTTGAGAGAATTTGGCCATTAGGTTCAAAGACAAATGATGGTGAAACAGATAACCAACATCCTGATAACACACACTCAGCAACTATTATTCTGTTCTCCAAACTAAAAGGGTAGTATTACTTAGGGTCTGCAAGCTTCTCATTCCTTTTAATTCCTCCACTGTCTTGTCCAGGTGTTTTAACTGGTTGTTGTGAAGCAAAAGAATCTGTAAGGCACACAAGTGTTTCAGAGCACCTGAAATAAAATAAAAACATATTATTYTCACTATATCTGTTTGCCTGGATTAGACAATGTTTCATAATGCTGCATGTCGAGTTGGATGTTCTAGTTATCCCCYCCGCCTGCCTTTTCTATAACATGAGATTATTAAAAACATGTTTTATGTATCAGGTTTCAGTGTCCCTTTTACCTCTTCTAATTAGGTCATTTGAACACAAACCTCATATTCTTAATTTCAGTTCCTTCCATTTGTCCTCATTTTCGTCACCTCAACAAATCAAGTTCACCTTCACCACTTCTCTATTYGTCCTTCCTTCCTCTTCTTTCCTTTGTTCCTCTTCCTTCATTCATTCCTCAATATATTACAGTAATTTTTGATCTACTTCCCTTACTTTTTCCTCGCCAACATTACTAAGTACCTTAGAAAATAGCTCAAGTTCAAATAATTAGTAACATACTAAAAAGTTACTCCTGTATACTGTTGTGACTGATGCAGATTACATCTCCACATCCTCACTCCACATCAAGTCTAGATTGTTTCTGTTCAGCCCTTCTCTCCCACATTCTTCTCCCAATAAAATACCTGCCCTTCTGTTACCCATATTTTASATCTTTCTTCATTGTCTCTTTTATCTGTGCACTTCTTGCTTTCAATCATAAATTTTCCCCCAAATCTTGCACACACTAATCAACACCACTTCTCCATCCCAACATTTTACAGGGACAGAGAAAGTTAAAATATTATCATTTAATATACACACATTTTTAATCTGCTATGGCCTCTCCATTCACAAATTCACTCCCTATTCTGCTGCTGCCATTTCACAAGAGCAAGCAAAACCGAAGCACATGTATAAGACAAAAATGGAATTTTTGAAGAAAAAYCTTGCATTAGCTTTGCAGAATACTTCTCACATATACAAATACATCATGGAGAAACTGCAGAATATTTATGATTATATTAGCAGTAGGATAATTTATTAATTTAGTGGGTTTTTTTAATTTTTATATTGTGTCTGTCAGCACTTCTACCAGTTTTTCACCATGCAGACATCCATGCCCCTCAAAAAGTACCTGGTCAGCAAGGGAACTACAAATAATGATATGTGAGATAAGCTTTGCATATTTATTATGAATATGAAATATGGCAATGTTAGATCATTTTTTTTCTACAATTCGTGATCAATTCAGACTGCACATAATGCTTCCAAATCTTATTTTTTCAGTTGTTTTAACAGAAGTAAAGCTAAAATCATACAAGACTTACAGCCTACTAAGACTGTCTAAAGTGTTTGTATCTGTTATGTTGACTATACCTGATACTGATCAAAATTAATAAATAATAACTATATAATAATATCTAACTGGCAAGTGGAAATGATCTTTCATTTCCTTAGACCAGGACTAAACTTGACAATAAATATGACCTAGTTGCCCCTCAAGTATACTGGAACTAATCAAATCTGTAAGAAAATAACCGATGTATATTTTATGAATATGCATATTATGCATATATGCATTTTATGTATTTTTATGCAAACATGGGAGGAATTTTCAACCACTAGGTCACTGTTACATATTTCTGAATGTCAGTACATCAAAAAGAACACAAAGGTCTTCGCTCAACAAAAAGACAAAGTTGTTACCTGATATATCTGTGACCTCATTATTGTTGAGGTAGAGTTCTGTCAAGCAGTGGTTTTTGACCAAGAAACTCAGATCTTGGATCTGAAATGAGAATATATGTCAATCTAAATTTAACTTCACAGTAAGCATGGCCTCCTTCAAAGCATTTCATTACAGCTAGTATGGTGAAAGACTCTTTTGGTTTAAGGCATCTTTTAAGGTTTTAATCTTAATCCTAAATGCTTCTCCATCTCTTTCAGAGCTGAAACTTCATCAGAAATACTAATGACTTATGGTAAACASACATAAAATGGCTTTATATAACCTTTTCAACTGCAAATTAACATTTGTTTTGGGAAACAAGTTTCACTGTTATTCCTGGCCTTGCATTTTTAGTTCTATTCACATTCAACATACTTTCTTTGTGAGAACACCTTTTGTTTTAAGAATATTCCCAATGAATATGCTTGCAACAGATCCAACAACAAAATTCAAAAATCATTTCTTCACCAGCAGAACTGAAGAGGARGTATTTGGTCTAAATTTCCCCAAAAGATGAAATAAATTATAATTAGAGCAAAATTTGTCTTATGGGCATATTCCTAATCAAGTGTTATCTTTGGTCTCTATGAAATATCAGCCCATCACCTTGAGGAGCTCAGTTCTCCTCTTGTCTTGACTCGGATGCAAAGTAAAGCATATGCAATGGGATACCAAGCTGACCATTATAGTTTTATTTGCTACTCAGTTGAGATGCAAAAATTAGATTCATTTATCTTTTACTGAACAGCAAGGTCAGCTCTGCTTGATCATCAGACCATTTCTTATACTTCAATTCCTTTATAAATAACAGGGGAACACTTCCACGTGTGGTTTTAGTGCAGCCTTTTATGTATCCATATTTTTGACTTTTTTGAGAACAGTTGGACAACCACAGGTCTTTCAATAAAGTCAACACAAGATGCTATGTAATTAAGGGTAGCCTGAAGCAGCAGATATTCATGCACTCCTAAAATATGCAATGTATATTTTCTTCTGCTGCTCACAGAACTACCTATTCATCTCAGCAAGTACTTCTGGTGTTCTAAGAACTTGAAAGTCAGGTAAATTATTGCACATTAAGATATTTAAAAGCAGGGTAGAAATTACTGTGTTTTATTATTATTATTTAATTATCAGTAGTTAATGGTGAAGGTTTGGATTCAGTAAGGGAAAAAATAATGTTTGTCTGTGTATGTGGGGGTTCCTCACTCAGGTAGCTCTGCATCACGTACGTCTCAAGCGCAGCACTGCAGACRAGCTGCTGTGCACAGGCAGGAGCAACCGTGGCAGTTACAGGTCACCCCCGGGAGCAGGAGCTCAACGAGGGCTCTCACCTCGGCCACCAGCCTGCAAGGAAACAAACCGTGTACCTCCCACGGGGCAAGACCAAACGGCCACTCACTGCTTGCAGTCTTCCTGAAACATCAGCAGGAGCAGAAGCTGTACCAGGAACACCTCAGGGTCACATCGTCCCTCGCTCTGCTYCACGAGCTGCCCACCAAGCGACGTTCTCCGGTGAGCTCTGCTGCAAACTACTCTCCTAGACAAACCGCCCTGCTAAACACTCTCCTAAACAACTGTCTCCTAGACACTCTCTTCACATTATGTTACCAGGTAATTTCTGCAGTCTAGTTCCAAGTGTACTCAATTTCCCTTTCTATTGCTAAACATGGGTATAAAAATTTAGTCTCTTAAGTTCATAAATTTATAAATATTCTCTGAATATAAAGGAAGAACTCATTTTATAATCTATAATGTATAATGAAATCCTATGTTTATTCAAAGCTGTCATGTTTATACCACTTAAATTTCTCAGAAATTAGAAATAACCCATTAATTTGGAAGTTATACAATATCTTATTTTAGCAAAAATAAGTGTTACTCAGGGAGTATTCATGCATTGTTCTGCTTTTTAAATGTATATCTCATTACCTTATTGTTATTAATCCACAGGTACCTTAACCTATGAAACCGTGACAGACTTGGGATACTTCTTAGTCCTCTGGTGAAAGAAAAGAGTTAACAAATTGTTTAATATTGCTTTATCACCTTGTAAACAGTTTAATTTTAGATAAGTAACATCATAAAACACTAAAAAACAAACAAAAATATAGAAAATATAGCACAGAAAGACACGCAGAACCAAGATGGCAGGGAGTGTAAGCACTCCAAACACTTGAGAGCATAGCAGGTGGTAAAGAAATGGGAACAGAAGCAGCATTTATTTTCCCAGAGAATGAGTCCCATTTACTTTGCAGTTTGTAGCAATTCTGCCCAGAATATATGAAGAGAAATTTTACGTTTTAGGGGACACAAGTCTAAAGGGAAAACTGTTTTTGAAAGCCCAGCACAGCTTCCCCAGCCCCAGTGGCACAGGACCTAGCAGAAGACAGGCACCTTCTTCACCTTCTCTCCTGTCCTCACGCRAGTTTAATGCACACTCCTCCTCGCTCAGCAGTTCTGGTTTAAATCCAGCTGCACATCCACTGAGGCTGCAAAGATCTCCCACGTGCTTGGAGAGGTTTTTGTTTGTCTAACTGTGTATCGAAACTTGAAACTGCACTTGCAAGTGTACTTTAAGAATATGAGAATATGAGTTGACCTCTGAGAAATTTTCACTCATGTTCTTCCTAGTTTTTCACTGCTTTAAACAAATGTTCTTGTTTTTCTCCAGAATAATTAGAGATTACCTTTAAATTATGATTTTTTTTAAAATCTATATAGGGTTTTTTTGTGGCTTTTAAACTATTGCAGGGCTAGGCTAGTGTTTCAGAAGGGATTAATAAGATCAGTAAGTATTAATGTCATATCACCAGCCTAAACTTACCTGTGTGTGTTCCAGCTGGGAAGTCTCGTCTCCAGTTTCCCATGTTATTCTTTCCGGACACCCTCTGGCTATAGGACACGTGAGGGTGGACACCTCTTCTCATCTTGCATTTGAAAACCATTGAGGGCAAATCGCACAAAGCTACGTGCTGTAGTTTCATTCTATAATTCTAGAAAACATTATCCAGCTCTGCTCCTTTGTTAAATTGGTTACTTGGTTTCCTCAAATAATCCCTAAAAACTAGCCTTGCAAATAAGTCTTTATGTGCTTACTTTTATTGTCACAAGTAGCCAGAAATACATTACTCAAGTTAGTAAAGATAAGGACACAAATGTTGACAGCACATTGCTCTTACTGACCATTCTCCAATTCTTTTGTACAATTTTACCTGTATACGAACAATTTTTCAGACAGCAAAGCCTAATTTCCCTCGTATTGTCATTGCTACTTAATTCCTAGTTTACAGGATTACATTTAAATTGTCTTYACTCTCTCTCCAGTGGTATTCTCACCTTTACTGTCTCCCAGTCTTGATCTGTTTTTCTCTGTTTTCTTTTTCTTTTTTTTCCCCCCCTCTCCTCCTCCTCCTCCTGCACTCTTATGGCATTTAATTTGCCCCAGGTAGAGATTAATTCCCCTCATATTTTAAAAATGCCTGTCCATTTCTGTATGCCTTCCAGACACTGTGTGTCTCTTATAAACTGATCCTTCTTGGCCTCCAGCACTTTTCTTACCTACTGCTAAGTTAATCAGTTTCCCTAGGATGAAAAAAAAAAATTACTTTTGGACACCAAAAGTTGTCATGTCCCTTTAACAGCAATAGTTTAAAAATAGAATTTCACTCTATCTAGTTCATCTGACTTAATTTTTCATTTTTTCCTTCATTTAGCCAACATAAAATTATGTCAAATCAACAGTGAGGAGGMACGCTCTGAGACTGAAATTGGCTGAGGTTCAAGGTTTATATAAATTGGTATAGAATAAAAGGAATTCAATTCTCTCCAATCATCAAAGAAGCCAACTTCCATACTTTTCTCAAAGTGATTTCTTGGGAAGATAGATCACTTCTATTATCTGCCATCTGATCAGATCTTTTTATTCCATATCAAAAAAAAAAAAAAATCCAAAAATCAGTGAAGGCGCCTATTTAAGCACTTAAAATCAGAAAAACGTGCCTGTTAAGACTGCATAAGCAGCTCTGCCTCTGTTACATGCATGCATTACAATTACTTTATTATATTATTTAAATAATGTAGAGATGTCTTTTTTTTATCATTCTTTCCTTAGTTAAATTTTCTGTATGTTTTCTTCTTTTTAAAATATATATRTTGATAACTTGGCCAGTAACTATGCGTTTTGTATTTTCCCACTGCCAGGCAGCAAATCCTTTTTTTTKGGGGAAACAAGGAAATGTGATGGAAAATTTATAGTAACCAATGGGCATATTTAGATTTTAAAGACCACWTAATTCCCATGAGAAACAAGCCAGACAACACTGAAATCCTAGCACTTTTATTTGCCTTTACAGGACACAGCTCCATGAAAAATCCCGTCCCTGAATCAGTAAATTACTTTTGTTCTGTACRTATGATATCAGCAGTACAAACCTGAGGTGCAGTCGTGAGCGTGCAGACAGGTATGCAACACTTGGAATTATGCCCTGGCCAGAAATTCCAAGTATGCTTTTAAGAAGCTTTGAAGTGTGCCCTGTCATGTACGCAGCCTTCCCCGGTCGCTTCTCGGCAGGCTCACCCTGCCCTGCACCGCTGCTAGCCCAGAGGCTCATGAGGGCTTTACCTTTCCCCATGTGGCTTCTTCCTGTCCTCTCCTTCTTGCCAGCCTGCGTCTCCACCGCTGGGGACACGGGCTCCGCTTCCCACTCGCGTGGACCAGCTCTGCGTGGCCCAAGCCGGAGGTCTTACGCAGGCAGCAGCCTCGCGCTGCCCTCCTGCCCACCCATCCTCACGTCGCRACCCACCCATCCCTCAGCTGCAGCAGCAGATGTCAGAAACTGGCACTTCTCACACGGGGCAGTCCCGTATCTTTTTGTTTGCCTTCCTGCTGCTCTTTCCAGCCAGCTTTCCGGGCCATTCAGAATAGGCAGGGATCGGCCCATGATGCTGGATATCTCTGCGCTCTGTGGTGGAAGTTGATGCAAAACTGCCCCACACTCGCAGTTCTGGGCTGCTAGGGCCGTAGCCCTAAAGCTGAGCAGTTAAATACTTAACTGTGAGTATAGCTTGGATACATAKGTCAGCATATCCTCATTTCCTCTGGCACAACACGTATTGGCCTAGGTATAAATATGACTTACCTGGTATGACTTACCAGGTATGAACGATTTTCACATACGAATGACGTTCAGAGACTATACACTGTACTACAAGAGGTTACCATCTACTGCATGCTCTGTTTTTAATAAAAGTCAAATGGAGAAACAATTTGACTTACTGTCCGGCCAGATACAACACTAAGACATCCACATTCCTCTTGAAGCCACAGATCTTCAGCTGGTTTTCTATTGCCTGACAGTTTATGGTAGATTCGTCAGCATAATATACTGCACCATCACATATTCATTACATTATAATTGAACATGCAAAGTCAACGAACACTTAAATTAACATACATGTCAAAATTATTATATTCATCACAGCACTTTGCAAGCAAAGTATGGTCTAAGACAGAGGTGAGGCAATACCTAATGCAGTACCTAAATAATTTTAGGCAATACCTAAATAACTAATAATCTCTGTTCTTAATGGATGAAAATACTCCAACATCTATGTTAGGCTTACTCCAGTTTTATTTACCTGTGAGAATCATGGTTCATAGATGAGAGGGAGGAAAAGCAAGGTATGCTGAGCRGCTGAACTGCCTTCTCCCCCATGTTAGCCAACCCAGGGATCAACTGCCAAAACTGCTTATTTTACATTTGCAACTTAATGCACATAATTCTTTTTTTTAAAAAAATATATTAAATAAGCATCCAAAAACGTGTGCTTGTACATTAACTTCAAAACATGGAGACACAGGATTTTTAGATCACCACTGCACGTGCTGCCATTAGTAAAAGCAGCAAGATCCYGGCAAAATGAGTTACAGACACCAGCCGGTCCCTCCTGATGAGAGGCGTTCCCTCTACCGGAACCCAGCACCGCCGAGATCTCCGTCCCGCCCGTTTTTCTCCGCTCGGGCTCCCTCGGCCCCTTCCCGRCCAGCCGGGGGCGCGCGCAGCCCCCGCCCCGCTCACCTGCGCGCCGCCGCCCTGCGCCGCCGCCGCCATTTTAGARGCCGGTTCCTAGGCGACCGCGGCGCTCGCGGCATGGCGGGAGGAGGGGGGAACCCGAGCCCGGCCCGAGGGCGCCTGTAGGACCGGGCGGGTCGCCGAGGGTGACAGGGCAGGAGCGGCTCGGAGGAGCGGGGCTGCAGTGTCCCTGCGTGCAGCCCCGGGTATGGGAGTTCCACTTATCTGTGGGAAGCCCCCTGTGTCCTCATTGAGCACCCTGAAAACTGGCCTGATTTTCCTGGTTTTAATCACAAATCCCGTGTGTGCATGGTGGGGGTTATCAGGGAAATACTAGTGAGCCTTAATAGGCAGCTGATTTGGACCATGACACCCACTTGCGACTTGCAGGTCACCTTTGTGGTGACACCTCTGCCTATGTCAGTGCCCAAGAGTGAGGATGTGCCTGCTGCTCTGCAAACACATTTGGGGCAGTTGGGTCAAAACAACACAATGTTTGTGATAGCCGTGTGTACAAGCTCTTGCCATGTTTTTTTTTTTTTTTTTTTTTTTTTTTTTTTTTCTTTTTTTCTTTTTTTTTAATAACCATCATACTACATGGCACAAGCTGAAAAGCAGGGAAAGACCCCACTGCCAAATAGTGCATGTGCACACAGGACAATAGAAAATGTTCAATTGAACTGCAACAACAACAACAACAAAAAGCCTGCAAACTTGGAGCTTTATTTAGAATTCAATTTACACAAAGTACTCAAGCTAGCAGAAATAGCCATTATAAATTATGTGCAACTGGATATTTAAAGAGTAAGAGTTTGTGTGCAAATATATGAGTAAGCTGTCCCCCCTGGAATTAATTACGTGCATGCCTTTGCTTGCTCAGACCACTGAGCCCAGCTGCCGTGTGGATGCTGGCAGAATGGCACTACAGTCCAAGGATTATATTGCAGATAGCTAATTTTCATGGAGTAGTTGTGTAGGTGGCTCCCACATCAGCTCGGTAGCTTTAAACGATTGGAAATCTCAAGAAAAATTAGGCTTAAAACTGTAAAAAATGACAGCAGAAATGTCTTTAATCACTTATTTAAGCTTCTAAAAATACCTCCAGGGTATTAAAACATGAAAAGAGGAAATGCAGTTGAGAAGAAGAAACTAGTACAGAGATACATATTTTCTCATTTTAGATCTGAGTAATGTGTTCTCAATCAGCAGGATAAAGCTATCATTGTATAACTTGGAAAGGTGAGATGGTTAATTAAAGTCAACTTTTATAATAAAATTGTCTTATTGACCTGTCATATATTTTAAGTTCAAGTTTGGAGAGCGAGATGGCTGCTAGAAGATGTTTTGTCCCATTCTAATGCAGAGGTGTGAGACACATGGACCAAACTGAGATGGCCATTTCAGTTAATAATTGGTAGCCAATAACTTAATCTGGATACCCAAATATAGGCTATTTAAAATCCCATTAATCCAATTTCTCTTCTGGATCTGAGAGCTGACAAAGTCCCCACTGAGGTTAAAGGAGCTTGGATATATGTGGATTTTTATACTCAAACTGAACAATTGGCACTCTTTAGATAGACCATGTATAACCCTTTTTGCAAAATACATAACTATTTAGTCTTATTCTTGGATTGCTATGCATAAATGAGGTAAGTGATCGCTTGCGCTTCTGGAAATCTAGAGCAGTGACTCTACTCTGAAGTTTTCCAGAAAATCCTTATCCCACTTGTGTGCTAAAAATACTTCTTTGTTCATCATACGTGCACACACTGTTATAGCAGGGCAGAGCATTCTCAGTTTTTCTATGATATGATTCAATTCTGCCAGAATATACAATGTGTTAGGTATTTTCTAAATAGAGAAAAGAAAGTTTCTTTCTGGAGATACAGGAAGCCCATAGAAAAGTATCTTTTGTTTCATGAGCCATCTTTGTTTGTTTGTTTTTGCAGCAGCAGCAGAAATATCATCTTTCTGCTGTTCCCTAGGAAAAACAGATATATCAATACAACTGTTTCTTCTTATACCTAAATCAAGCTTTAGGTTTATTTCGATTACCACAAAACTAAGTGTTTTATGCTCTAAAAACTTCTAGAAACAGGTTGGTAAAATCATGCAAAATGTTGTCTTATGGAAATCCTACTACCTCCCTGAGGCACAGTCCAATGAAATTGTAAAAAAATTAGAGCTTCTTACATCGAACACTCACCCTCATTGCCTGTCATACGAAAAAAAGGTCACTCTCTCAATCACATACATATTTATTTTCATTTTTAGTTTATATTTCACCTATATTCTAAATATTCTTTTGTACGGTGATATGCATAGCAAAGATACAAGTTCTGCTGAGCTGAAGTGTTATCTAAAATCTACTCACCATGCAGTTATTATTTTTGTGATGATAGGAATCAGCTGGATCAATGAGAGCACCATATTATACCAGCATTATGCCTCAGCTTGAGCTTAATGATTTCCCCAGATAAAAAATAATATTATCAACCTCTTTTTCTTTCACGTAAATTGTTCCTGTTGCTATGCTGTACTCACTAAAATGACTTTTTTAGCTTTAATTGCTAATAAGGTTAGTCCATCAAGTGGCACCCAGACSACTGTTAGATGATGGGCTAAATCATTCAACCATTTTTTATTTTGTTTGAGTTTCACACTGATTTTGATAGGGCAATTCTTAAAAAAATAATAGCGTAATGGGCACTTAGAACTTAATCTATTGTTCAATAGCTGTGAAACATGCAACACATTAAAACCAAAATCTAATAAGGGATATTTTTAACTGACCTTCAAAATTCAGTTGCTCCTTGCCTTTTTTTTCCCCCCAGGGTTTACCTTCAATTTATGTTTTTCAAGTCCTATATAGTTTCTAAACATGACAACTTTTGAAAGCTTTAATATATATTATACGATTTTTTTTTTCATTCATGTAATRCCCCAAATATCTTAGGTAAGAACAGCTTTAATATTCATCAGGTAATTTAAACTTTAGCTCCTATTGAGTCCTGATTTAATGTGGAGTATGCTTTAATGCATCTCTCTGACATGAGTCATGCATTTTTACAGCATTTAGGGTAAAAATCCAATATTTAACAATGAAAAATAAAGTAGTAAGATCACTTTTTTTTTTTCTTTAAAGAAATGGATACACTATACATTGTTATACTATGTTGCTTGCCCATTTCTTTACTATCATCTACAGTTAAATATTGATCACTGCACATAGTGTAATTTTTGGCTTTTTCATCTAAGGTATTCTTAAAAGCTGGGCCTGAATCTTACAGAACTACAGACTGCTTTACATTGGAGAAGATTTGTGGAGGACATTGACTCTAGCTTCATTCATGTGAGGGATGTTTTCAATCTCTCACATTGGTATAGTTTACACCCCTCAAAAAATAAGGGAAATATATGACATTTAGTAAATGGGACAAGTCTAAAGTTGTTCATTTCATAGTAATGCTGCATAAAAACAGTGCATTTAATTTGCTTTTGAGGTTGTAAGTAAATTCCACTGGGAAAGGTATGAAGTAAATGCAAATTATTTTGGATTTCCCTTTTTCTCCTTCTTGCTGGAAATATTTTATTGACGTTCATCAGGTGAAATGTAAAGCCTGAGGAAAGGTTCCCAGGATATCTCCCCTGCATTCCAGCCCTCGCTCTGGAAGAGCACAGGTCTCCCACAAGTCCTGAAGCTGCAGCCCCTGTGCAGATGTTTTGAATAAACCATGATGTTTGAAGCACTCGGGCACTGGAGTCACTTCTCTTGCTCATGCTCTCARTCTTGCTGATGGTCCTGGCCACTTGTTGAGTGCCCTCAACAAGTTCAGGAGAAAATACTTTTGTTCAAGAAATAATGCCACTTTCATCCTGTATTTAAACAGTCAAGTCAATTTTACCCATTAACTCAAATGGGTAAAGCACTGCCTGGTATACAGGAGATCTGAATTCTAGTTTTTGGTCTAGTATTATGTATACAAATGGAATCAGTACAAATTGATGCATAGGTGAGAGTAAAGAAAGAAGGTAGAATAGTCCATGAAATACTCCTGGCAGACTGCTAGGTGAGCTGCTCATTCAAAGCTAGCTTCCATGCGACCTTGCATCTCCTCACTGCTCCAAAGTCTGAAGAAGAGCACTGCTACAAATGTGACCGGGCCTCATGGAGAAGTGCCCTCACAGTGTTATAAATAGTCCTACCTCTCTCCTACCTGTCCAGTAGAACAATTTGAATGTGTTGTTTGTGTCAATGTCCCAGCTCTGACCTTCGTTCTTTGACCATTTTGTGAGCTGAAGTGTTGCTGCAGTTCAACTTCTGAGGCCGACTAAAAATCAGCAGTGAAATTCTTGTCTACTACTGCTGGTTTATGGAATTGTAAATAAAATTACATCTTTTGAGAGCAAACAACTCTACTACTGTAGTTTCAGAAATTTATATCCAAATGTTTCAAAATACTAAAAACTTCCACAGTGTTTTGCATTTATTCTGACACACAAAAAAGATCCCATTGCTGTGATCTCATATGTTTCCTAGAACACGATAACTAGAATTTTTGTCTCCCGTGATGTACAAGCTTGGAATGCCTGAGGCCTCATGGGAAGATATTCCGATAGAAACGCTGCTATTGGAAGTGCTGCTGTTAGTAAAACCTCTGTCTTCAGTACTTGAAATCAGCTTACCTACTAACATGGTTGGTATTTTTCATAAAAAAAATATAATGCATTTAAAAAACTATTTTAAAACTACTTCCTATTAAAATTGACTTCCTCAGCCTTGCAGTAGTAACTATTTCTACAAGGATGATTCTTTAGATATAGAAGTCAATGCTGTTCTTACTGATAATCAGATGCCCTTTTATTTTTTCCTTTCTTTGAGAAGTCTGCCACCGACTGGCTTCAAAACCTGCACCCGTAGAAAACAAGTCAGGTTTTGAACCTTTCCATTTCAAAGAAGTTTTTAATCATGATAACCATCAAAGTAATTTTTAGATACAAACTTCAGGCATTCTGTCTTTGRAATATATTGACAA